TATATGTATATACATGCATATACATACATATATGTGTATGTATATATACACATACATATATGTGTATGCATATATATATACATACATATATATATACATATACATATATTTAAGATTATGTTTGTTACTGTAAACAACCAAGCATCAAGTGTACAGGACAAATCAATTGATACCACTGAACTGAAAAAGAAGTAATATGTAGAATATGTATAATGTAATCTCCTTGTATCTAATAGATTTTTAAAGATTTCATTTTGTGCCTCCCCCTACTATATTTATGCTTAATTGCATAAATGTTTTTCTAATAATGATTCACAGGAAGTTTAACTTTGATTTTCTTTTATATGGTGTGTGAAGTTTTAATCATGTTACTTTAATGAAAGTACATAAACAATTGAAAATAAATTTGCATGTAACAATATAGGTAAGAGGTCTTTTAAATTTAAAATCTGTATTTTATACTGAGAAATATTAGAGATGACAGCGAGAATTTGTCTTGATTATTTTCCTTGCTGAAAATGTTTAATGGTTCTTAGACTCAGAAAAGTTATTTAAAATAAGATTTTTTTTCCCTAGGATTTCCACTTAAACAGAGTTAATTTGGAAGAATCTTCAGGAGTAGAAAATTCTCCAGCTGGTGCCAGACCAAAGAGAAAAAATAAGAAGTCTTACGATTTAACGCCAGTTGATAAATTTTGGCAGAAACATAAAGGGAGGTAAGTAAGAAAAACATTAGGAAGTAAGGGAGTAAAAGGTTAATCACTTAAAGAGAAATGAATATGTCATCTAACAATGAATTGGAGTCCTGGTGTAGTGGTGTGGGTTAATGCGCTGGACTGCAAGGTCAGTTTGAACTGCAAGGTCAGCGGTTCAAGCTCACCAGCTGTTCCTCGGAAATGCTATACAGGGTTGCTATGAGTCTGCCCTCTACAACCATCTCAAGGAGCGTAGTGGTTACGAATCAGGCTGTGAACCTTAAGGTCAGCAGGTCGAAACTACCAGCTGTTCCGTGGGAGAAAGATGAGGCTTTCTGCTCCCGTAAAGATTTACAGCCTTGGAAACCCTGCACAGGGTCGCTATGAGTCAGAACCGACTCCATAGCACATAACTACAACAACATCACCGTCTCTGTTTTTAAATGAATTACTGTTTTTTTGTGATGGGGAAACATTAGGTTTGGCGTTTTTCTTTCTTATTCTATCTTTGCCATCATATAAACCCAATTTTAGGTATCTATGGAGACAGCCCCTAACCTTGATGCCCAGAAATTTATTCAAAGTACATTAGAATTAATGGGTAAAAAAACTAGTAATTTAATGTGTTTTTTATTGTAGGTAGATATACATATTCCACATGTTGCTATGTCCCCTGAATATTTAGGGCACGTCATTGACTCAGTAATAATTAGAGAAAGAGAGACAACCAGAGAGTCAATTACAGAATCAGCTCCTGGATGGAACAAACAATTCAGCACCTGGCTACTAATTGAAAAGGCAGTTTGAATCCACCCAGAAGCGTCTTAAAAGAAAGGCCTGGTACTGTGCTTCTTTCTGAAAAGTCACCGCCATTGAAACCCCGTGGAGCACATTGCTATTCTGAAATCCATGGGGTCGCTAGGAGTCACAATCCACTAGACAGCAATTGGTTGGGTTTTTGATATCCGAGATGCTTGTATGTTGTTTTGGTCTCAGTTCATGTTTAAAGAGAAGTAGAATTTATTCTACTTCTGTAAAACATGTTGCCTTTTGTATGTCTTTTTTTTTTTTAATCATTTGAAAATTGTATTAATGTAACAAAGAGTTTGAGTCTGGAGAGAAATGTCACTTTATGATGGGCAATTTTTAGTACAACATAATTTACTTTAAATAAGTTTCTTCCCTTTCTAGTCCAGTCCCATAGTCTACATTTTCTTCCAGAATGGTGAAGTACAAGGAATTACATTTTACTAGGAATACATTATTTATAGAGATGGAGGGTAAATTACAGTTCAAATTTAAGTTGATATTCCTTAATAGAGTGAAAGTTAAGAAACTAAGTCAGTATTCAGCTATGGAAATTTTGAACATTTTGTTTAGACCTTATAATTTAGGAATAATAAGAACTTTAATCTTTTGTTTGTAGATAGGAATACACCTCTTATTCTGAATATCGTACTGCAGTGTTGTTGTTAAGTGTCATTAACTACAATAGTAGTAAATAAAATTTTACACAAGGTAGATCCCCAGACTGAAGATAATTGACCTCCCACCTCAAGTTGAAGATTCTATTCCTTCTAATCAACTGCCTAATAGACAGATGCCAGGTCCTATTGGCTTTTTCTAACTGTGGTGGACTCAGTAAATCACTAGAATGATGCACAAAACTTTCAGCAACTACTAATGCTTTTTCTTGTCATTAGGTGCTGTCAGGTGGGTTCCTACTCATAGTGACCCTATACACAGCATAGAATGAAACACTGCCTAGTCCTGTGCCATCCTCACAATTCATTGTTTGAGCCCATTGTAGTTGCCATTGTGTTAATTCATCTTGTTGATGGTATTCCTCATTTTTGCCAATTCTCCACTTCTCCAAGCATGATGTCCTTCTCCGTGGACTGGTCCCTCCTGGTAATATGTCCAAAATATGAAAGATGAAGTCTCGCCATCCTCACTTCTAAGGAACAGTCTTGCTGTACCTACAAGATAGATTTGTTTGTGTTTTTTTGGTAGTCCATGGTACTTTCAGTATGCTCTGGCAACACCATAATCCAAATGCATCTATTCTTCTCTGGTCTTTCTTATTCATTATTCAGCTTTCACATGCGTATGAGTCAATCTACCGGTACCATGGATTGGGTCATGGTGTGCACCTCTTTGCTCTTCCACACTTTTTTTTTTTTGTTGGTGGTGTATAGGAGTAAAGGTTAGGATTGGGACTATGGCTAGATCTAGAACTTTGTTTAACTTTGTTTATTGTTAGACGTATGGTTAGGACTGCGGTTAATCTTGAGGGTAAGAGTTGGACTAGGGCTAGGAATAAGACTTGACCTAGCTTTAGGCTTGCAGTTAGGTTTGTTGCTATTTTATTTTTGTCTTGAAATTTAGTTGCTTTCCACTTCATTTGGAAATTCTGTAAGTTTATTATTCCCTCTTTGTGCTTTGTGGAGTTTTGTTGTTGTTGTTGTAACTGTAGTAGTTTAAAGAGGTCTTTTGCAACAGATTTACCTAATGCATGCAATAGGTCATCTGATTTCTTGACTGCTGCTTTCATGAACATTGATTGTGGATCCAAACAAAATAAAGTCTTGGATGAGTTCAGTCTTTTATCTGTTTATCATATATTGGTCCAGTTGTGAGGATTTTTATTTTCTCTATATTACGGTGCAATTCATACGAAGACTGTAGTATTTGATCTTTATGACTAAGTATTTCGAGTCTTCCTTGCTTCCACTAAGCAAGGTTGTGTCATCTGCATATCCTGATGCCATGTTCATCTTCATATAATGCAGCTTCTTGGATGATTTGCTCAATGTACAGGTTGAGTAACTATGGTGAAAGGATATGTGTACTTAAAACTAAAAAGGATACAAGCAAAGGGCCTAGATGATACTTGCATTGTCCCCAGGGATATGCCATGTATGGATGATCTCACTCCTCCAGGAAATCCCAAAAGGGAGTTCCAAGGTCCAGAGTCCTTTAATTTAATCATTGGAGCCTCAAAAAATATGCAAGTCTGGTGCTTTAATGCATAGTTACCCTTGATCCAGTCAATGAATGTGCATGAGCGCATCGTGCCTCCCTCCCTTCTTGAAATTAGGTCTCCAAGGAGTGGTACTTATGTTACTCCTACTTGTATGATGTTTTTATAAACACATAAAGCACCTTAATTGCTTAGACTGTTTTTAGAAACCAGATATAAAAAGCCAAAACGAATTCTTTGCCCCAGAAGTAGTAATGTGATCATAAAAGATACAAAGATAGTTTAGAATTATGTGACTTAAGGAGCTCTGGTAGCGTAGTGGTTACGAATCGGGCTGCGAACCTCAAGGTCGGAGGTTCGAAACTACCAGCCGTTCCACAGGAGAAAGATGAGGTTTTCTGCTCCCATAAAGATTTACAGCCTTGGAAACCCTATACAGGGTCGCTGAGTCGGAACCAACTCCACGGCACATAACAACAACGACAACAAGCTTTGGTTTTCTCAACATTAAAATTTGAGGATGCTCATTTTAATAATTGTCCTATTTCAGACAGTTGTTATAGATTTAAATAAGTTCTTGAATATAAAGAAATAACTTAACCAAAGTCACCTAGCTTTGATTAGCAAAGCCAGGAATAGAACCCACTTCTAAAAAACTCCAAAGTCCCTTTCTTGTCTAAAGTATAATAGTACCTACCGTAGCAGGTTGTATTATCTGCATAATCACAGGTTGTTAATGAGTCTTCCTCCAATTCTGTTGCTATGTTATTCTTCATAGAACCCAGCTTCTCAGATTATTTGCTCAGCATACAGGTTGAATAAGTATGGTGAAAGAATACTACCCTTTGACACACCTTTCTTAAGTTTAAACCAGTCAGTGTACCCATGTTCTGTTTGAACAACTGCATCTTGATCCATGTACAGATTCCTCATGAGCACAGTTAAGTATTCTGGAATACTTATACTTCGCAATGTTGTCCATAGCTTGTAATGATCCGTACTATCAAAAGCCTTTGCATAGCCAATAAAGCACAGGTAAACATCTTTTTGATATTCTCTGCTTTCAGCCAAGATCCATCGGACATCAGCAATGATATCCCTTGTTCCATGGTCTCTTCTGAATCTGGCTTGAACCTCTGGGAAGTTCTCTGTCAATGTATGCTTGCAGCCGTTTCTATATTACCTTTAGTAAAATTTGACTTGCATGGGATATCAAAGAGATTGTCCGATTATTTCCATTGGGTCACCTCTCTTTAGAATGGACACAAATACAAATCTCGTCCAATCAGTCAGCCAGATAGTTGTCTTCCAGATTTCTTGTCAGAGATGAGTGAGTGCCTCCTGTGCCGCCTCACTTTCTTGAAAGATTTCAATTTTTATTCCATCAATTCCTGGTGCCTTGTTCTTTGCCAATTCCTTCAGTGCACCTTGGACTTCCTCCTTCAGTATCATTGGCTCTTGATCATAGTTGAACATTAACCATTTCCTTTTGGTACAATGACTCTTGATACAACCTTGCTTGCTGAAAGTGAAGAGGACTTAAAACATTTACTGATGAAGATCAAAGAGCACACAGCCTTTGGTATGGATTGCATCTCAATGTAAACAAAACAAAAATCCTCACCACTGGACCAATAAACAGCAATGTTGTTGTCAAGGATTTCATTCATCTTGGATCAACTGTCAACACTCATGGGAGAAGCAGTCAAGAAATCAAACGATGTATTGTATTAGGCAAATCTGCACAAGACTTTTTTAAAGTGTTGAAGAGCAAAGATGTCAGCTTGAGGACTAAGGTGCATCTGACCCAAGCCGTGGTATTTTCAATAAACTCATATGCATGTGAAAGCTGGACAGTAAATAATGAAGACCCTAGAAGAATTGATGCATTTGAGGTATGGTGTTGGAGGAGAATATTGAAAGTGCCATGGGCTGCCAAAAGAACCGACAGATCTGTGTTGGAAGAAGTTCAGCCAGAGTGCTCCTTGAAGTCCATTATGGCCAAACTTCATCTCTCATTCTTCAGACATATTGTCAG